AGAGAAAGAGTTAAAAAATATAGTAAAGGGTATTTTCGTAATTGGGGGGGCGGTGACTAGTAATAGGGGGGCGGTAAATAGCAATCCAGAATGTTTTTTCAAGTGTTTTTTTTGTTAGAATCTAATAACGGTTAATTAAGGGTTGGTTATTGAGATATGTGGTTATTTATTTATCTTGTTCCTTCTCTTCTTTTTATCTTCCACGTTTTTTCTTTTTGCCTTATTTTCTCCCTTTTTCTTATTCTCTTCTTTTCTCCCATTGTTTCACATTTATTTTCACTTTGTAAAATCATCAAACACAATGGATTCAATTTCGAATGAGATCTCCGACCTTTTCGACCGTCTACCGTCGATCACCGTATCTAGTCGGTGGAGCCCTTGCCCTGCATTCGACGCCTTCCATAATCCATATTCGGAGAAGGAGGTCGCACCTATGCTAATTGAAGATTTCCAAATTCATGTCATCGAAGCCCCTAATTAATTATTAATTGATTCGAGAGGCGGGTTGAATTTTATGCATTGGATGAAGCATTATCATGACTCGAAGAATTGACGACTCATGAACAGGTACGAGGTATGTTATGCGACCCGATAACTTTGATATTTTTCTTTGCTGGATTTGTCGAAAATGAATCATAAGTGTCGTATGTTGATTTTGTTCACAAACACTATGCAATTTTGAAAAACATGATGTAAACTTTTGTGATAACTTTTGTAATTATCTTTATTTTATAACGATATACTTTAAACTATCTCAAAAGTCTTTTTTTCATGTTGTTTTTTAGATATTATTATGTTGTTTTGTTGTTACTTAAATGTTTTTCATAATATATATTATTAACTTTTTAATTTATAAAAACTAATATTTGTGTTGCTTTTTAGTTAATTTAATGGTTATGTAGGTATATAACTAGCTGATCAATTTTTTATTTTTATTTTATTGTGTTTTGATTCCTAGGCATATGTCCGAAGAACAAGAAGAAAAGAGAAAAGAGAAAAGAGAGAAGAAATAAATGGAGCAAAAAAAGAAGAGAAAGAAGAAGAAGAAAACGTGAAAAAAGAAGAGAGAGAAGAAATAAATGGAGCAAAAAGAGGATGAGAGACATAGAGAGCAATTAATTATTGAATTGTTGTATTGATTATTTGTAACTTCCATTTGTAACAGCTTGTTTGTTTTGGAATGAATGGAGATAGTTTTGGAATTCCCCAAAATCAGAGTATTTATGAAAATAGTTTTTAATAGGTGGTTATATATGTTTTTTACCCGGCTTAAGACTCGCTTCTATTTGGGCCATACTAATTTTGATATGGCCCCAATGCTGCGGCTTGTTTAAATGAGAAATTTACCCGTACGCACGGGTACATTCAATTGATATTTCTAAAGATTTTTTTAAGATATATTCAACTTAGATTTGTTAAAATTTTTAAAAATATTGGAATAATCAACTAAGATTTTGAGAAGTCTTATCAAATTATGAGGTATTTAACTTATTTGAGACTAGTATTTGTTAAAACTTTTTAAGAATTTGTGGGATTTCTAAAGAAATACTTATACGAACTCTTACTTAAAATCCCACCTCCAGGCATACGATTTCACATAATTCCTCCAAAATTTAAAAATCTTAAAAAGTATCAAATCTTAAAAAATCCCAAAATGTCACTTGAAATCCCAAATAAATACACCCCTTTTAATATTTTTTTTTAACATTTACACCATATATATAAATATTAACAAAATAACTAAAATTATTACATTTATTTTCATATATACTAACAAAATCAATTTTTTTATATTGCTTTATTTAATGAGTCAGATTTAGTAGAGATTG